TTCGGTGATAGTTGTCATTGTAGTTTGGCAGGCCTGGATTGGGTTTGAATCTGTTAGCTCTGGTGTATGGGGCTGGCATCCTAGATATTGAGCAACAGCGGGTTTATCCACAGAAATGTGTACTCATAAAAGAGGTGTTCCTGTCTCCTAAAGTCACCGGATTTTGATGAGCCACTCCTCACCTTCATTCTGCTCACAGCATTAACTGAACACCCCCAAGTGCGAGGCAGTGTGCTGGGGAAATACAGGAATCTCCAGGACATACCTTTTTCTCTTGTGGAGCTTATGTCTGGGGACTAGAAGTAGTAGGAAGCCGGGGGGCGGGGGGGGGAGCATCAATTTCAGTCCCCAGGGGTGTCAGATCTTGTCCCCTAATTGGCTAGAAAATATAATTACTATATGCACCTGAATTTCAGGTTATTAACTCTTGCAGCCTAAGAATTTTAGTGTTTTTTTAAAAATAGGATGATTTAAAAAAAAATAGGATGACTTTTTTTTCTTTCTAGGGATTTTGACTCAAAATAGGTGTGCATGAGAAATCATTTCTGATGATTCATGTGAAATCATTTCTATTCAATGTGGATTAAAGTTGGGGACAATAAGAATTTGTTGGACAAAGGAAAAGTTAGGAAGAAAACAGAAAACCTGGTTATTTTTATTTCATGCTGAATCTGAATAGGCAAACTTCTAAAACCTGGGCCATCCTCTGGAAAGGACTTGCTTCCCATGGCTGACTTACAAATACCCTGCACGGCTGGCTTTCCTAGTTGGAAGGATAGCTCTTCCTCACGTGCCCTGAAAGGGGCAAAGAGGAATCTCCACCAAGAGCTCCCTCCAGCTCAGAATGCAATTTTAGAAAATACAGCTGACTTCTCTGGGAAAAACAAAACCAACCTTGTCTTGCTCTGGTCATGGCAACCAAGTTGGCACCTCATTATCGCCTTGTTAGCGAGAACTGGCTGCATGGTGGACAGACCCATGGGGAGGGGTGGCCCTATGTGGGCAGGGCTGGGAGTTAAGCTTAATTGCTCTTCTAAAGCCCAGCTACTTAATGCTGCACAAGTTGAAATCTATCATCAGACTCTCGACCATTCATCCTCCTCTTTCTTCCAGATTCTTGTTTAGAGACACATTAATTTCTCCCCACTCTGCCGCTGCCTGATTTGTGCTGGGCACACAGGGGACCCCAAGGCTTGTCTGCAGCCAGCTTAACTCCCCAGCGGAGAAAGGGTCTGTAATTGCCTGTAACCTTGACCTCTCTCCTCAATACTTTAAAGTGTAATCAGCCTGTTATGGCCTTGGAGCGAGGCAGGGTTGCTGGCTGGGTGAAGGTGGTGTCTTTTTAATAACTTATAGCCAATTTTTGAATTTTCACATGATGAGAAAGGGCAATGAAGTCACTTTTATCTGGCTCTGAAATGTGTTTTGTACTTGCATTTGAATGTGGGTGTGCCTGATGTTCTGGGCACTTACTTCCAACAAAACGGTGAGGCAGCACGTTGCTTGCCAAGTCTCCCTTTTCCTCTCTGCCTGAGGGCCTCTCCCCCTTCTTTGTTTCATTATTTTTACGCTTTGACTGTGTGGAACCTGGGACAGTAGATACTAAGTGTCCCAGCTGTGTGGTTTCCACTCCACAATTCACGGCCTGGATTGTCCATAGCAATCCCAATTTCAAACGTCACAGTCCCATTTTTCCATTGAAATGTCCTGGAATTGCAGTTCATCAGCATTCTTCACATAGTTCCTCATTACATCCGCTTCTCAGAAGGAGAATTTAAAACCCCCTAAAATAAGATCTTACCAAAGAGCCCCGACTTTGATAACCACACATCCCAGACTTGCTGGGAAAGTCTGTGCAATTTCCAGACCATATATGCTGATTTTTGGTCTAGAAAATCCCACAACCAACTAACATGGGTCACAGGAAAGGCAAATATCAAACAGACATGCTCCTCCCCATAAGATTCTGTGAGTGGCCACCCCAGCCTGCTATCTCAGAGTCAGATTTTCCACATGTAATTTTTTTGGTTATTCCTTATGCTAGTTGGGTTTGAGAGCAGGGTTGAAGGGAACTGTAATCTTTTGGAATATATATATATTTAGTCTTTGGTTTCTTGTATACAAGTCCTAAAATCCTTAGAGTCTGACAAATGTCTCTTTGTATGCTAATAAATTAAAAATGGCTTGGGGCCCCTAGATGTATCTTCATGATAGACACTGGTCACTAGTCACCACCAGAAAAGATCAAGGTGGGATTGCAGTGTTAGGATTTTCAGCTCCACCCCCTCCCCACATCAGAGATAGAGGACAGGGGCTGGCCAATAGCTCATGATTTAATCAATCATGCTTAGGCAGTGATGCCTCCATAAAACCCCTAAAGGACTAGATTCAGTGACTTTCGGATAACTCAACACAGGGAGGGTAGAGCCCCTGGAGAGAGCATGGAAGCCCTGCCCCTTCCCACCACGTACCTGCCTTAAGATCTCTTGCATCTGGTGTTCAGGGGTCTCCTCTTTATAATAAACTACTTGATGTGTATCCCTGAGTTCTGTGAGACACTGTAGCAAATTAGCCTAATCTGGATTCATAGCTGGTCAGTTAGAAGAACAGGTAAAACAATCTGGGGCTTGTGATCGGCCTCCAAAGTGGGGAACAGTCTCATAGGACTAAGCCCTCAACCTATGGAATCTGATGCCACTTCCAGGTGGATAATGTCAGAATTGAATTAGAGACGCCCAGCTGGGGTCCACTGCAGAAGTGACTGCTTGCTTGGTGTGTGGTTAAAAAAAACACCCCACACACATCTGGTGTCAGAAGTGATCTGTGTTGTGAGAGTACAGGAGAAACTGAGTTTATTTCCATGTTTAGACAAGAGCCTAATTTTTATGGCTTTTGGATATGAAATGAGGACAGGGGTGAAAATGTGTTTGGCACAAATATACACACAACTCTGTAAGCAATGTTGAAGGCCCATTTTTTCAGTTAATGTCACAGCATATAGATTTTCTCATGTCATTTAAGTGTTTTTTTGTTTTAGGGTGCTTTTTTGTTTGTTTCGAGACAGAGTCTCACTTTGCTGCCCTTGGTAGAGTGCCACAGTGTCATAGCTCAAGTGATCCTCTTGCCTCAGCCTCCCTGGTAGCTGGGACTACAGGCTCCCCCCACAATGCCAGGCTATTTTTTTTTTTTTTAGACATGGGGTCTCACTCTTGCACAGGCTGGCCTCAAAGTCCTGAGTTCAGGCAGTCTGCCCACTTTGACCTGGCAGAGTGCTAGATTACAGGCGTGAGCCACCATACCTGGCCTGTTTTAGGGGTTTTGTTGTCTTTTTGGTAAACAACAATTTTGCCAAATTCAAGATACCAATTAGTATGGGCAGTGATGCGGTGGGGGCAGGGTGGGGAGCAGGTAGCCAACAGATGTTTAGGGTGCCAAAATGTCTTCTATCTCAAGTTTGGTGCTGGGTTTACTTTCTGAATATCTTAAATGTTAGATTATAAAGTAGAAAGTTTTAAACACCAATAGGAGATGGTTACTTAACATTTCATTATGTTGGTATAATTTACTCCAAATCTTATACCCCCATTATTGGATATTTGTAATCTTCAACTTCAGATCCTCAGATAATGCTGTGTTAAACATCTTTGGGTATCAAGTTTCGTCTGTATTTTAGCTGCTCATTTGCTTAGGTTAGAGTTATAAAATTGAATTATTGGGTCAAGGAATATGACTCTAATGACTGCATTTTGTCAGACTACCTCTTAAGGAAGCTGTATGGGTTTAGACTGTCATCAATGTTGTATCTACTCCCCGGTGTATCTCTAACACTAATTACTGCTTTTTTCTAAAAAGCATTTGCTATTTTGCTGGGCAAATACTTGTTTCTAATGGGTTTAGTTTGTGTTTCTAATTACCAGGGAGATTGAACATTCTGCCATATAATTTTTCTATTGCAATTTTCCTTTCTTTTAAATGTATATATGGGACCCGTGGGGGAGGGCCTTAGTTATGTGGGAGCCAAAAGACAGTCCCCCCACCTAGTTGAAAACCAGCTGTGCATCTAGACCTCTGTCTTCCTGCAGTGCCGCCAAGCTCCTGGACAAGAACCCCTTCTCGGTTGGTAACCCGAACCCTCTCCTTCCTTCGCCTGCCAGTCTCCAGCTGGCTCAACTGCAAGCCCAGCTCACCCTCCACCGGCTGAAGTTGGCACAGACAGCTGTCACCAACAATACTGCGGCCGCCACGGTCCTGAATCAAGTCCTCTCCAAAGTGGCCATGTCCCAGCCTCTCTTCAACCAGCTGAGGCATCCGTCTGTGATCAGCTCCCCCCATGGACACACTGGGGTACCACAACATGCTACGACCATACCCAGTACCCGGTTTCCCTCCAATGCAATTGGCTTTTCACCCCCCAGCCAGACACGAGGCCCAGGACCCTCCATGGGCCTTCCTAGCCAGCCTCCCAATGCCATGGTGATGCATCCTTTCAGCGGGGTGATGCCTCAGGCCCCAGGCCAGCCAGCTGTCATCTTGGGCATTGGCAAGACGGGACCCGCCCCAGCCCCAGCAGGATTCTATGAGTATGGCAAAGCCAACTCCAGGCAGACGTATGACTCTGACCTGGACGGTCAGCCCAGCTTCCTGCCAGCCTCCACCTCTACTTCAGGCAATGTGTCTTTCGAAGGGCACTACAGCCATACAGGGCAAGATGGCCAAATTGCCTTTTCCAAAGACCCCTATGGACCCAACTCCCAAGGGCCACATGTGGCAGGTGGATTTCCACCTGAGCAAGCAGGAGGCCTACAAAGGGAAGTGGGGCCACTGCTACAGGACGCAGACAGCCAGTGGGAGAGCCCCCATGGGTTCTCTGGCCAAGGCAAGCCCGACCTCACAGCAGGTCCCAACCTGTGGCCTCCACCCCCCAGCCAGCCCTTTGAGCTGTACGACCCTGAGGAACCCACCTCAGACAGGACCCCTCCTTCCTTCGGGGGTCGGCTGAACAACAGCAAACCGGGTTTCGGCTGTGCCCGGCGACGGGCCAAGGAGGAGCAGGCGATGCTCTCCATGAGGCCCCTGCAGGTTCATGAGCTGAATGACCTTCACGGTGTGGCCCCCCTCCACCTGCCCCACATCTGTAGCATCTGCGACAAGAAGGTGTTCGATTTGAAGGTGAGTCATCCAAGATAGGCTGCTAGCCACAGCTAGGAACCTGGGTGGGCTTTCCCCCATAACCCAGCTTCCCCTGTTAGTGAGAGAGAAACTGTTACCTTTGGATAAGTATTCCCAGAAGCTACTGTCCCCTGAGTATATGTATATTGTACTAAGTTTGAAAGAAAAAGAAAAGGCAGAATTTTGGATCAAAGGCAAGAGAGTAATTCTCAGTTGGGACCTAGACAAATTATGACAGAGGACCTCAGCTTCCTCATCGGCAAGGTTGTGATGGAGCCTCCTGACACCTTCCCTGTGGTTACACGATGCTTTGAGCTGCTGCAAACAAAGGCTATTTATAATATAATTCCCCCTCAAACACAAAAACATATTACTGATACACTAACATACTCTGAGGTAGTAATAATTGTCATAAGCAACACATTGTAAACGCTTTTTGTGTGCCAACAGCAACTCTTATGGGGTAGATACTATTGTTCTTATTTTGCAGATGAGAAAACTGAGGCCCAAGACATGCCCAGGGCTCCCCCCAACTAGGAAGTGGCAGAGTAGAGACGCAAATGTGGGTCAGGCCCTTCCAGGGCCTGTGCCTCCCATCTCCCATCCTGTCCAAGGTCACTGTAAATGTCTGGATTGGTGAGAGACACACGGTGGCATGTCAGTCACTTCTGCTTGGGTTCCACTGTCCAAGTGCAGCCCTGAGACTCAGTAGGGACACACCCTCTCACCTCCAGTCTCAGGGGGAAATGGCTGAGAGGTGCTCGAGGATTTTGTCTCTCATAGCTTTTTAAAATCACTGAGTTCACCTGCCAGATGCTCGCATATATGGAGCATATATCTATATGCTCTGGATATAGAAAGAGGTGGGATCTCCCTGGGGGAGAGGAGGAATGGGAAGTGGGCAGGGGGTCCAACAGTTCACTGACAGGGGAAGAAGGAATCCTACTTGTGAGTCTGGGCTCCTGATCAAGAGGGGCATGGGATGGCTGGAGGAGGGGCTGATGAGCGAGGGCTTGGTGGCAGGCAGGGGCGGGAGAGGAGCCCGGGAGGGAAGGGTGGGCGAGAGGGGGATGCATCTCCAGGGTTGGTCCAACTTCTGGGCACTCCACACTCCTCACCTGGCCAGAGACTCTGTGCTCATCCTTCACCTTCCTAGGGAGTCAGTTCTACTTTGGTCATTTTCCTTTCTTTATGGCCTAGGACTGGGAGCTACATGTGAAAGGGAAGCTGCACACTCAGAAATGTCTGGTCTTCTCTGAAAAGTAAGTGCTACCCTAGAGAACAGGCTCATGTGTGCACTCAGCAGATATTCCCTGGGCACCTGCTGTGTGTCATGCTCTGCCCGAGTGCGAAGGAAACGGCAGAGAACAGAACAGGCCAAATCCCTGTCCTCAAGGAGCTTAGACTTAACGGGGGCCAGACAGATGATAAACAAAATGATCAGGTAACTCAGATAGCATTCCTGGTGGGGAGTGCTAAGCAGAAAGTGTATGTGTGCATGCACGCTGGGCGGGGGGTGATCCTTACATTTTAAATAGGATGGTTGGGAGAGGCCTCACTGAAGACACGACAGAAGGGGTGGAATGAGCCTGTGGCAGCTGGATAGCAGGTGTCCTACATCTGGTGGTCCTATATGCCCAGGGAAGATTCAGCATGACCAGAGTAGGAGAACAGGGCAGAGGAGCCAAGGAAATCCCAGGGTCCACATCTGAGTGCTTGGGCTTCCTGTGAAGACTTTCTTTTCTCCTTGGAGTGGGATTGGAGCACTGAAGGCTTCAGCGATGCAGTGATGCACACAGGCACCAGAGAAGAGTATCCTGCTTGCCGCTGTGAGCACAGACAGTGGGAGCAGGCCCACCGAGAAAGTGGCTGCTGCTTCTCTGCAGACAGAGAAGAGAGTGCCTGGCTTGGGGATGTAGAGTGGATGACTAGGATTAGGCGTTTGGAAATGTGGGCGTTCAAAAGGCCTCCCTTAGTTATTCACAATAGCTGAAACATGGAAGCAGCCCAAATGTCCATCCACAGACGAATAGATAAACAAAATGAGGTATATCCATTACTCAGCGTAAAAAGGAAGGAAATTCTGAAACATGCTACAACGTGGATGAGCCTGGAAGACATTATGCTAAGTGGAACAAGCCAGTCACACAAGGACAAATACTGTGCGATCCCACCTATATGAACTACCTAGAGCAGGCAGAGTCAAAGAGGTGGAAAGTAGAATAGAGGTTACCAGAGGCTGAAGGAGGGGGAAGGGGAGTAAGTTGTTGTTGTTGTTGTTGTTTGAGACAGAGCCTTGCTCTGTTGCCCAGGCTAGAGTGCTATGGTGTCAGCTTAATTCACAGCAACCTCAAACTCTTGGGTTCAAACAATCCTCCTGCCTCAGCCTCCAGTAGCTGGGACAACAGGTGCTTACCACAATGCCCAGCTAATTTTTTTATTTTTAGTGAAATAGAAAAGGACTTGCTCTTGCTCAGGCTAATCCCCAAATCCTGAGCTCAAGGGACCCTCTGGCCTTGGCCTGGCAGGGGGCTAGGATCACAGGCTTGAGCCACTGCACCTGGCCAGGGAGTTAATTTTTAATGGGTACAGAGTTTCAGTTTTGCAAGATGGAAAGAATTCTAGAGATGGATGCACAACGATGTGAATATGCTTAACACCACTGAACTGTACACTTAAAAATGGTGAAGATGGTTAATTTTAAAGTCATAATTTTTAAATTTTCTCACAATTGAAAATAATTTTTAAAAGCCCTTCTTTTTCTACCTTATTTTTTGTTGTGGTAAAATTCACATAGGACTCACAATTTTGACCATTTTGAGTACAATACAGTGGCATTTTGCACGTTCACAAGATTGTGCAAATGTTACCACCATCTAGTTCTGATTGTAATTGCCCCAAAGGGATACTTCATGCCCCTTAAGCAGTCACTCCCCGTTCCCCTCTTCCCCCTGCCTCTAGTAACCACCAGTCTGCTTTTCATCTCTGTGGATTTGCTTCTTCTGGACATTTCTGTAAACAGAATCATATAATAGGTGGCCTTTGATGACTGGCTTTTTTTTTTCTTAGCGTAAGTAAAAAAGACACATCCATGTTGTAACATGTATAACCTTTTTATGGCTGAATAATGTTCCACTGTATGTATGTACCACATTTTGTTTATCCATTCATTTTTTTTTTTTTTAATTTCAGATTCATATGAGGTCACAAAGGATTAGGTTACATTGTCTGCTTTTCTAAGCTAAAGATCAAGTTGTGGTTGAGCCCTTCATGCAGGGGGTGTGCTGTTTACCCTTACACTGTGCACATTAAGTGACAGTTTACCAACCCCCTTCCCTTCTCCCCTTTCTCCTTTCCCTCCCCCATCCCCACTTGAATACACTTGTGTTTCTCTTTCGTGAGGGCATGTAGCTGTTTATGTATTGGTATCATATTAGTCTCGAGCACATTGGATACTTGCTTTCCCATTCTTCTGATGCTTTACTAAGAAGAGAGTGCTTCAGCTCCATCCAGGTAAATACAACAAATGTAAAGTCTCCATCTTTTTATGGCTGAATAGTATTCCATGGACTATCGATCCATTCATGGGCTGACGGGCACTTGGGTTGATTCCATATCTTGGCGATTGTGAATTGGGCTGCAGTAAACATTCTAGTGCAAATGTCCTTATGGCAAAATTATTTTTTTCCTTCTGGATAGATACCTAGTAATGGGATTGTGGGATCAAATGGAAGTTCTACCTTTAGTTCTTTGAGGATTCTCCATACACCTTTCCACAGAGGTTGTATTCGTTTGCAATCCCACCAGCAGTTATCCATTCTGTTTTTGATGGACATTTGGATTATTTCCTAGGAGGGAACCTTCTGGGTCATATGGCAGTTCTTTGTTTAACTTACTGAGGAGTTGCTCTCCCTTTTCTCCCCCTCTGCAGTGCTGGCGTGCGGTGTATACTTGGTTCAGCAGAGGGAACGCTGTGTGCCTCTCCCAGTAGCACAGCCCTGTATAACCCTGCTGGGAGTGAAGGTGAGCCTCCGGGTCAGAGCTTAAAGCTGAAATCAGTATCCTGCATTCTGATATGTCCTTCTTATATATGTGCACAGCAAACGGATCCCAGGACACTCAAATAGGGCCTGAGATCTGGGCCCGTCGGTATTTCCTGAGATATTTTAGATGTAAAGCTTTGCTCATTACCAACGTGTCTGGAGGTATAATCATGCCAATCACTAATGCATATGATAACAGGAAATTTTCAGTTTTCTCTTCCCCCTATGTCCTCGTCACGACTCTTAAAAGTATAGTCAATAACTGGGAATTCAACTGGCCTGTGTAATTTGTCCTTTAGATTATGCCTCAAATCTTGGAACGCCTTTTGCAGCCATTCCGGCAAGGTCATTCGCTCAGTCAAATCCTGCATTTCCTTTGCCTTCCGCGGGGACAAATGTGAGTACAGAAGCATTTTATCCATTGTCATTATCGTCTTCAAAGCCTTTGTATCAACTGCCATGTCTGGGCCTAGAGGGGATACAGATGTGTTCAAAAAAATGTCTGTAGACCGGTGTTTTTTATCCTTTTGTTATCTCACAGTACCCTTCAACCTCTAGTTAAACTTCCGTGACATACTTATGTCATGCTGATCAAAAAAAAAAAAAAAGAGTAAAAGAAAGAATGTACTTACTGTGCTTTGAACTTCTTTCCAAAACAATTTAATTAATGAGCTTTAAAAATTTTCCCAGGACACCAAACATCCTCATTTCCATGGCACACCAGTTGAAAATCATTGCCCTAGACAGAGATGGAGAGCTGGTGAATTCAGTCTAGCTATTATTGCAACACACAGATAAAAAAGCTAATATAAATTCTTAAGATTGAAGGCATTCATAAACTTTCTAGAATTCAGCATTGGTTTAGGGAAAAAAAAGTTAGCATTTTTGTGTTTTTTTTTTTTTAAAGATTTTTTCATGTTATGTTGAAGTGGACTATTTCCTAAGGGAATATAATTTTGAAACTTGAACCAGAAAGTATATTTGAAAGTAAGGACTATCTACCATAGCATTTGTTGGTCCCTTGGGAAAATGATTGGTGCTGTATAATATTTTTGTTTGTTTTTAGTTTTATTCTCTCTCTACAATATGCATGTTAGTCCCCTAGAACTGCCAGCAGGGCTGTCCAACCTGCAGCCCGTGGGCCGCATGCAGATTATTTCAGGGCTGCTTTGCTTATCTGTGGTGTTGGACATCGTGAAAAGGGTGCTTGGACCTTTTCTTTTGGTCATCAGCTGTTGGTAGCATTTCTGCATTTGATGTGTGGCCCAGGACAACTCTTATTCTTCCAATGTGCAGCAGAAAATTAAAAAGGTTGGATACCCTGTTAGCTAAAGCTTCTTCTCCCCTTTTCCACTGATCGTGACAGCTCCTTTCCTCTCTTTGGTTTCTATTGTTTTCCCGCTGCCTGGAGTTCTCCCTGTCCCTATGCCACCTCTCTTCTCCCTGAGTATGAGGGGAGGAGGAAAGGGAGGGGGAGACAAAGTGCCAGCAAAGCAAAATGCATTGGCTGCCCCTGCCCCAGAGCACTTGCTCGTGTGCCTTTGCCTGGGCCTGAATTTTTCCAATTCGATTGGTAAAGTGAGCAGCTGTAGCCTCTCTCTCCTGCCACGAGCCAGCACAAGCTCAGGGCAGGCCTCCACGTGTGGGGATGTAAACCTTGGACAAGCAAGCCGTGAAGTGCAGTGTTTAGGTCCTAGGGGCTGAGTGGAGGGGCAAGGAGGTTCATGACAAGATGTGGCAGATTGGGGTCAGTGGCTAGTTTGGGTGAGCCCTGTCCTCTGTCTTTGAGGTCCGACTCCTCAGGACATGACCCTACATCCTGAGGGGGTGTGCTGGAGACACCCCCACATCAGGGCCTGTCTCTACACACTTTGGGCCACGGAGCCACCTCTGTGCCTGCAGCCCTGCCCTGAGGCCTCACCCCTGGCTCTGGACTGGGGGGGGCCAGTGGGCCAGGGCCAGACCCTGTGCATTGACTCTGCCCTAGGGTCTGGGCATGGGGAGAGCTGGGAGGATTCATAAAGGGTTTGGGTGGCAGGAGGACAGACACAGCAGAGCAACTCTGGTCTGTTCTATGCCTCGCCCTCACCTTCCGGCGCTGCCCAGTGAACCAGAGACCTTTTCTGTGGACTTAGAGTTGAGAGATCTAAGTCAAGTCCTAGCTCTGGAGCCACCAGCTGTATCCCCTCAGGCCAGTCACTTCTACGAGGCTCTGTTTCCTTACCTGGGGACAAGAACACACGAATAATGACTTTGGAAGGTAAATGACTCGGTTTTCACCTGGCTTGTGGGACATATTAATTTGATTATTCCTCTAATCTTGAGCTGCCCTTGAGTACAGTCTTCTACTTCAGTGGCCAGCACCAGAGGGCAGAGACCTTGGGACAGCCCATAGAGTTGTCCTGCCCTTGTGAGAACTGAAGGGTATGTGACAACGAGCTGTGAACTGCTGAGGAGGAGGGGAGTAACCATGGTTGCACCGTAACCCACTTTAGCAGTGAAGAGCAGTGTGGGAAGTGCATCCTGTGTAAGGCTGGCTCTGCTGGCCGAGTGAATTCAACTGAGTCCTCGTATCAGTTTCTCTTGCTTGAATCTGTCTAGTAATACCTGGGTCATATCTGCTCCCTCTTAGAGATGTTTCATAGCTCCTATGAAAACAATTGTAAATTACATACGTGCCAGGCAAGCGCCCGTAGTCTGCTAATTCATGTTGATATTCTTGATAACTCATATTTATACCCAGAAATTCTTGAATACAACTGCCTCCAAATGCTTGGAGGTGGGGAGTTTATCTGGCTGGAGCCTGAGAAGCAACAGGGAAACATTTTGCTTTCTTCACTGGGAGCTGGCAGGAGGCGGAGCCTCGGATGTTATAGCATAATAACAGCAGCCAACATTTATGTAGTGCTTGCTGTGTTCTGAACATTTCAGTATTGTATCAACTCATTTTATCCTCCAGACAAACTCATGAGGTGGACACTATTATCATCCAAACTGCAGCCTAGAGACTAAGAGATTCAGTTTGTATCAGGTCATACAGTGGTAGATGGAAGCGTGGGATTTGAGCCCAGGCAGCCTGGCTCTGGAAGCCTCACTGGTGATCACCAAGTTGATGCTGGTCCTCTCTGAGGATCTCAGGGGTCTCTTCTTTGCTGTGATTTTTGTCCCTCTTACACCCCCTACTCCTACCCAAGAAGTTGAGGCTGCCTTGAAGGTGGGAGGGACTGCTCTGGTCTTGGCCAACCATAGAGCAAGATGACAAGGTCAAATTCTTTTGTGCCCTGATGGCATCTCCCCAGATGAACTCTGATATTTCTCTAAACAGAATCTCTAAACATTTTCCATGGACCCCCTGGAAGGGGAAAGGCATTGTCTGACTGTTCTTATCACTGTAAGTGCTGTGAAGTTTTGCTGGTCACATGAGTCTTCCCAAGGACGTCTGGGGAACAAGGACAAAGCCTACTCCAGCCAGTCCCTGCATTACCTTTTGCCAGATTCTGGTCCCTGCGTTTCCATTTCTGGTAAATGAAACTGAAGGCAAGTGTATCTTTCTTTAGGAAAACTTGAAATGCAAAAATATAGGCATTTGAAGACAAGTTGAGAAATGAAGACCTGATTAAGCCACTGTTGAAAAATTCTTTGCAAGGCTCCTTTGTGCACGTCACAGGAGAGTCCCTCAGAGAGATCATTACTTCTTTTTCTACCTACAAATACTGACCTCCAAAGATAAAGGGACACATCGAGGGGTGATTGTTCTGTTGCCAAAAGGATACTTTGCCAAACTCCAGTTGGTGCCCAGCGAGTTTCTTTTGTGTACAAGTATACACTTCTATTTTTTTTTTTCTGCTTACAAAACTTATGCTTGTTGTGAAATTTCAAGCAGAAGAGAAAAAATGAGGAGAACGAAATTCCCCATTACCCCACCCTTCCGGCCCCCAGAGAGATTCCAAGAGTGACTTGCTACGGTTTCCTCTACAAGTGGGTTCTAGTCCTATGCCAACACTTTCTCTGTCTAACTCCATTTACATGAATCTTTTCAGAAACACCCAGGACTCTGCCACTGTAAGATCATTAATGTTTGTGGAGCAAAGAGTAGTTGCTGCTTCTAAAGCTCCCCATTTGGGGTTCGAGGCTCCAGTGAGGTGTGACTGTACCACTTCACTCTAGCACGGGTAGCAGAAAGAGATCTTGTCTCCAAAAAACAACAGCAAGGCCCGGTACAGTGGCTCACGCCTATAATCCTGGCATTTTGGGAGGCTGAGATGGGTGGACCATTGGAAGCCAGAAGTTTGAGGCCAGCCTGGGCAATATAGCAAGACCCTGTCTCCATAAGAAGTTTTTAATAAAATTACCGGGGTACATTGGCACACACATAGCTATTGTAGTCCTAGCTATTTTGGAGGCAGAGGCAGGAAGAGGCTTGAGCCCCAGAGTTGGAGGTTGCAGTGAGCTGAGATCACCTTGCTGTCATTGAGCCTGGGAGACAGAATTAGATAGTGTCTCTAAAAACATAAAATAAAAATAAAGCTCCCTGTTTTTAAGCAAGAAACCAGAGTGACACAGGGATCTGGGAATGAGCCTTCAGAACATACCTGAACTGCCACAAAAATCTAAAACAACCACACAAACCAGCTGCTACCACCATCAAGCCCTCTGGCAACAGCCTTGGCTGCGTTTAAATTTGTCTCAACTCTGCTAGAATCTGTGTCTTTCATTGTCGTGTTTATTTTTGACAGCATCAGGACACTGAACTGACAGTTGTGTGCCATGTTTGCCTGTGGTAGAGTGATTTGTGTCTGTCCCAGCCCCTCCCATCTTGCCCCAGGGTCCCCAGGGATGGGTGTTCACTTTCACTTAAGCCTCTGCCATCTGACTGAGCCCAGGCTTTCTCCTTAGTGGCTGGATTCATCATAAACAGAGTAATCAGGTTTCTGGAAGGGGCCTTGGGGCCTCTCAGGCTGTAAATAGTTTTCTTGTCCCTGCCCGAGATGCACTTTGCCTGTGAGTGTCCCCATAAAACTGCCTTGCAGTTTTCACAGCCACCTCAGAGTTTATTTAGTGCTAGTGCCACAGATGGGCCTCCCTGGCCTGCACGATACACATTGTTGTTACGGTTTCTTTCTCACTAAGACCCTGCATGTTGGTGAATTTGTATAAATAAGAAAACTGAAGCTCAGGGAAACGTAAATGTGTGTGAGAGGTCAGAGTTTTAAGTCATAGGTTGCCCCCAGATGGCAACCGGTTGTTTCTAGGACATCTGTCTGTCTGCCCTGGCCTTCTGAGACCATGAAGAGCAGAGTGACCTCTTTGAGCATGAGGAGTAGTAATTGATGTGACATCTGCTATGCCCCTCCCCCACCATGCCAGCTCTGTCATTGCTCCTGTCCCTTCGGCAGG